GGTGTCATTTTATTTTTCTTCTTAACGACATTGTTGGGGGGCACGACGCTGTAGAGGTAAAAAGAGCATAGCACTTGGCCAAAAAATGTTGTTGGAACAATACTGTTGAAAAATCGAAGCCGATTTGTAAGAAATAGCTTTATGGCCATGTGGAAGAAGTAACACTATTGCGGTAAAAAAATGACCAGTCATGGTCGTTGGATTAAGTTGTGTTGATTGTTTTCTTTCTAGCAACATTATTTTGGCCACAACACAGGGAAAATGGGCTACATCCTTGCCCGAAAGTAATAAAATACATGGTCGGGAAGCAAAGTTGTTTAGAAAAAAAAAAAAAAAAAAGCAAAGCTGTTTTTGGAGGAACAGCTTTGCTGAGGAAAACGACGTTGTTTAATTCCTCATGGTGTGGAGGTTTGTTGCAACGTTGCGGGAAAAGAAGTTCAAACAACTCTGTGGCACTAGCTGCCACGTTGATGGGTTGCAACTTTGTTTTAGAGTTGAACATCATAAATCCAAATGTAGCAGTGTTGAAGGAACCGTATTGTGGTACGACAGAGTTGTTTTGGCCATCGTGCAAGGTGGAAATAAAACCAAATCAAGGTTGGTTTGACCAAACATCACAGTTGTAGAGGTTTGAAAGATCACAGTAGCATTGGAAAAAAATATATAATAAAAAAAAGGGGAAAAAGAGAGAAGTTCGGACCTCAATAGAGAAGCATGTTCGTATCTTTGCAGGAAGAGGGCTGCCACCGCCAGGTCTGTTCCGAGAGGAGCAGCAGTGTTAAAAAAAAAAAAAAAAAAGAGAGAGAGAGAGTATGCGGCCAAAACAGCAGTGAAGAAAAAAAGCAAAAACGGAGCTGTTTGGGAACACTATCGGCACCGAGCTGTTAAGGCCAACTATGACAAAAGCCAAGTCTGTTGGTTTTATTTTATAAATAACAAGTATATTATAATAACTAACATATCTTTTTGAGCCAAGACAGCGGTGTTGCGATGGGCCGCAGTGTTGCGAGAGTAGCACAACGCCGCGATTTGGTTATTCGCGAAGCCCCGGCAGTGTTGTTGATTTATTTATTTTTCTTCCCTCCTTCTGGCTCAGTAATGTTGCGGGTTTGTGGAAGGGAACTAAAACGCACGTCGTTTTCTCCAAACAAAATTGCGAGCCAACTTCGGGGCATTATGGATCTTGTCTGGTAGCTTGCTTCAGTGCTGTGAAAAGAAAAGGAGTATGAGTTGGCCATATAAAGTAGTGGACCAATAACAAAGGAGAGCCACTGTCTTGGGCGACCTAGAATTCCATGGGAAATCAGCTTCATCCATTAGGCGAACTTGGTGTTAATTGAAATTAATCATAGGAATATGGCAGCCATAGGTCCTCCTTGACGAGGCGGTGAGGTTCGTAGTTGGCAAATATTTTAGGTGATATGATTTATTGTGTCAACAATTTGGTTCATAATTCTTATAAACCAAATTGTGGGGGGCATTTGTTGACACCTAAAATTAATTTGGCCGGGATTAAATGCCGCATTAATTAGTCTCGGCATTTAATTCGATATCGCGTGGTAAAAAACGGTATCGTTTGGAGTTAAAACGGTACCGCAAGGGAACTCACCGGTACCGCAAGGGAACTCACCGGTACCGCAAGGAGGCCGAACCGGTACCGCAACACCGGAAACGACACCGCAGGCCGAAAATAAAGAGGCCGCTCGTTTAATGAAGGGTGAGGAGGAGTTGTGATTATTTAATTATTATTTTTATTCCTTGTTGGAGGAGTAAAAACGGTACCGCAAGGGAGCTCACCGGTACCGCGGAGAGTTAAAACGGTACCGCGGCACTGGAAACGGCACCGCTTGTCGAAAATAAAAAACAAGGGCCGCGCGTGTGGTTTTTTGTTGGAGAAGGAGTGTTGTTTTTAATTAATTAATATTTTTGTTCCTTGTTGGTGGAGAGTTAAAAACGGTACCGCGAGTAATCCCAACGGTGCCGTGGATAGGCAAACGACAGTGTTTAAAATAACAAACAATGTCGCAAAAAGGAAAAACAATCGGAGCTGTGGTGGCGCTAGCGATTTCGTTGGCCATAGCTAGTGATGGCCGGATTAATTAATTAATGTTTTAATGACTTTTTAGCCCGGTGGCGTTTAGTTGAAAACGATGCCGCAAGAGGAAGAAACGACACCGCGGGACAAGGAAATAGCGTTGTTTAACTGAGAACGACGCCGGGGTGAGAGTTTGACGGCGAGTTAACAATGAGGGCTGGTTTAATTAATTAGTATTTTATTATTCTTTTAGACGGTATCGTTTAATACGATGCCGCGGAGAAGTAAAACGACACCGTTTAAGGCATCAACAACGCCGTAGTATTACTAAGCGATGTCGTTTTGTTAAAAACCATACCACGATGGTTTGGATTTTGGCGAGTGGCCCGGCAAGCTCAACGACACCGCAAGACAAGAAAAACGGTACCGTTGGTAGAGAACAATGTCGTGGAATGAAAACGACATTGTTTGATGGGACCGGGGCGGAGCAGTTCAAGGTCGGCATCGATTAGTGAAAAACGATGTCGCGGAAAGATTAAACGATGTCGCAGGAGGTATCAACGACATCGCGGTATCATAAACGATATCGTTTGATTTAAAACGATATCGCAGTGGTTAAGAGCTCGGCCAAAGGTGGCCCGCCAAGCCCAACGACGGCGCAAGACTAGAGAACGACGTTGTTTGATGGACTAACAATATCGTTGGTTAAACCGGGTCGGGGCAGTTGAGTTGGATTATAAAACGGCAGCGGTTGGTGAAAGGCGATGTCGTGGTATTGGTGAAACGTCATCGTTACATGGATAAGGTTGTAAGTCGTTGCGCCAAGTTTCTGCAAAGCAAGAGCGGTTTCGAGGGCACGTGATTATCACGCAACAAGGAGGAAGTTACCTGCACGGTTGATAGGAATGAAGACGTGGGAGACAAAGGCGCCAAGGCAGTTACTACGACGGGGAGAAGTGCAAAGTATAAAGATTGGGAAGAGAGAGAAGCTCAGGACGGCAAAATCAAATCACAACTGCATCATTGCAGAATTATCTTTTTCTCTCTAGTTTCGTAGAACCGCTCTGTCAAAGAACTCCTTTGCAGAGTCGTAGATCGTAGCTTGTAGTCGTAGTCGCGGAGCTCTCCAGAGGAACCTCCATAGGAGTAGAGGTAACGTAACTTAGAACACTCCTGGTTCGATTTTCTGTTTATTCGAACACCCTCGTTCGAACGTAGTTTGGAGAGGTGTTGGACCGAATAACAGTTGTTTGATTAGAAGTCAAAGGTGTATCGATCGAATCAACGACGCCGACACCGGCGGCGGCCATTTGACGATCGTCTTTGTTTCTGTTTTAATCGATCAAATCAACGGCGCCGACACCGGTGGCGGATATTTGACGATTTTGTCTGATTTCGTGTTTGTGTTTACTTGAAACCAGTGCACAGTTAACACGCGAGTTTCGCCAACGAAACAGTTTTTTACACATGTTTCTTCCCCCTTCGATGGTTTGGTTGGTGACTGCCCAATATTCTTTTATATTTCATCGTACCATCATTTTATTTCATTTTGTTGTGTCTACAACTGTTTCTTCCTTTTTTTTTTATTCCATGGTTTCTACACCAGTTTCTTCCCCATCGACAATTTGCTTGGCGACTGGCCAAGCTAAGTAAAAAAAGTATCTCGACAGGGTCACAGTCGCGGAATAAATCATCGAAGAGGGGAAGAATTGAAGCTCCGAACGGAGATGACACCCTAGAGACTAATTGGGTTTCCACTCGATGTTCCTTCTCATTGGCTTGCAGGCTAGCAACTTCCTTCACCTTCGTCTTCGCTCTACCTGTTAGTTTTGCAAAAAAATTCTTTTGAGTGATGATTAGATGGAGGTAAGTTCAATAATTGGAGATTGAAGACAATTTTACCAGTATGTGCTCTAGAAATCGAAGACCAAATAAATCAAAATTTTTTCCGTTATGCTTCACATATTGGCCCATTACTTCTTTGGTCAGGCGAGGATTAAGAATACTGGAGAAGCACACCACTTGAAGATCAACTGCAACTTGAGATATGCTTCAAAGATAATACTTTTTTTAATGATTCAATTTGGTAAGAAGACCTTCTCCAAATATTTTTTTCTAGTATCCGAACGATAACTTGCCTCGCTTAGCAAACTATTTCATCATATGGGAGTAGGAATAGATCACATGACAATTTCCGCTATAAAATAATATTTTACTTGCACGGACATGCATCCACCTCAGTTGATTGTTTGATTCTGGAAAACGAAAAATACAATTATTAATTTATTTCACTACAAGAAACAACAAAATTTGTGCGATGGAGAAATTGGTTGCTAAGACTCACAAATACAGTTCAATGTCATGATCTTTTACTATAAGCATGCAAGTGAAGCGTTTAGCACTTAGTTTTCAGATATTATAATCTTCTTGATATATAGCCATTATAGAGCTCTCATTGGATAAAATAATTATAAATTTTAAGTGTATATAATATTATAATGGTGACATATAAAAAATTGCACAAATTTGTGATGATAAATTATTTTAAAATAAAAAACTTGAATAATTATGTTACACTTAGATTATAAGAATTTACAATGGGCACATTTTGATGATTTTTTATGGATTTTTCTTTGTTACAAATAAAACTATTTATTCTAAAGAAATTAGTGACAATGCATCAAAAAATGTACAAATGGTAAGCCATTCACAAAAACTTAAATTGATCAACGAAGAAAAAGTAGTATTTTTTATATAATAATTTTATAAAATTAAAATAAAAGATACTAATTTTGAAAATGGAAATTGAATCGTAATATAAAATCTTATTTAATCTAGGTATTATTGCTACCTGCCATAAAATGCAGGTTAGTCATATAGTATGATATAAATAAACAACTTGCCGTTAAAACTCTTTAATATAGACGATGGTTCAAAACAGAGTTTCTGGTTAATTTAGACAACATAAGTACATATTCACATATCTTTACAATTCAGCAGCCAAGAAAAGTAATGTTCTAGGTATCGTAACTTTATTCGCAACTTTGAGATTTTCTTCCTTTCGAAAGCATAATCGTTGGACAGAAAAATGAAACATTGAAGGAAAAAAGATGAAATTTACAAAAGATTCACACAAAAGCTTGGATATTTTCAATCCCTCTAACGTGAATCAAGCCAAACTCCTTCGCAAGAGAGTTACAGAATGCCGGAGGCTTGGATCTTATCAACCCTCTATCATGAATCAAACCAATCCCTCTATCTTGAATAATAAGATAGTTAGCCTCTTTATTTCCCCCTTGGGGTGCATTTGATATACTTCTCTCAAATAATGGGTTCATACTGATAATAATAATAGTAATGTTATCATTGAGTCAGAGGGACACATTCAAGCTCAATCTCAAGCACTCCCCTCTCAACATTTTGCAGCCTCAAACTGATTTCTTGCTTAACTTTACCATCTATTAAGGAGATGACACCATCTTTGACCAGTGTGTTGTCTTTGCTTGCCACCCATTTTCCTAGTTGTGTCGACTCGTTTATCGATGATGTCTCGTACGCCCTTGCAGCAGAAACAAGAGGTTGAATATCAATTTCTGCTTCCCCCATAAAATCATCTGTGGAGAAGGTGTCCTTATCGTAAACAAGCTGCAAAGATAAACATTGTCCTATTGCGGATAAGGCATCTTTGTAAGGGTTGATTTCTGAAAGGGCGAGGCAATGAAGATGTCAAGATAAACATAATCAAGCTCACCACTTTAAGGAGAGGGACGTGATCTGGGATTGACAACATAAGGCTTTCATTCCACACAGGGTTGAGGTTGTTCTTTATGACTCGAGTTCTCACTGACTGCAACAACATGATATTTGGGTAATCAATTGCAAAAGCTAATATCGAGGTCAAGGGAGGCAGAAGGACAACACTCACTTGATGACCTAATGCAAGGATGACGTAAGGGTCACTTGTCACCATATCCCGGATTGCAAGATTGGTTCCTTTTACTACATTCACCTTAATCAAGCCAATAAATTCGACCATTCCTGCCTGTTGATGTAATATGTTTAGAAAAAAACAAGGACAAGAAGAGAAAAATTTCAGTCAATGTAATTGAAACCTTGAGCATAAGATTCTGGATGTGCAAGAGACTTTGCTAACCTATTAACAAATCAATTCCAGAAATCGAAACTCTTAAATCCAACAATTTTTATTAAATGATATCAATATGGATGAGGATTTGTATGTAGGATACAAAGACAACATGAGCTCAAAATAAAACTTTAAAGGAAAGGATTACCAAACAAATGTTTTTCTTGCTTTGCTTCTGCTCTGCATCTTTTCTTCCCCAACTATTTCTCAATGCACTCCCGATTCGATGTCTGGTTGTTTGTTTCTCATAATGTGTCTTGTCTTGAGAAGATCCATGGCCATGTGAGTTTATATTGGGATTATAGGGGCATGTCATATTTTCATTGAAGTATGTAAACTCTAGCATCTCATATTTTCTCCTGTAACAAACAAACAATAAGGAATTAATTTAATATTCGGCGCATCTTAATATTTTAGTAAAAAAGACACTACTTGCCTAATGAATTCCGCTCTCTCCTCTATAGGCGCATCTGATTTTGGTTTTTTATAATCTTCTGTCATACAAGCTTCCAATTTCTTGTTTACAACTATATTCCCGCCCATCTCCATGAAAGCAGTGACCTGATCATCTGTCCATTCATCTAGCTTGACTGATAAAACCTAGCATGACCAGTTCAGTAAACAAGCAGGTTCGGGAATCATGAATCATTCATCAAACCACCTAAGAAGTTCAACCATGAATTTGATTATCTACACTATAGTTTTCGTAGATCCCACTGCAAGTTGCTCAAATCAACCAAAATAAAGTTCTTTGAAATACATCGTTGTTTTGGATTCCCTACGTTAAAGAGATGAAATAAATATTCTGGGATCCACACCTTTGATATATGTACTCCAAGGCTTCGATGGACACCAGAACACTTTATACAAATAAACACTCCATGACTTATAGATCTGGCAGGTAGAGAAACTTTCAGTTTAGGAAAGGAAGTCCAGAAATCATAAAAACAAGTTCAATTCATGTTCAGTCCTTTGCTACTTACACCCATTTTGGATCTGTAGATCCACAATCTGCACAGTGCTTGTTGCATGATTGACTCAGCAGTTTCTCCAACCTTTTCCGTGGACCTGATTATTGAAGAAAAATCAGCAAAGCAAGTTGAAGAAATAATCAACTAAAGTAGTTAGGTAATAGTGTTATCTTTCAGTCTTGATACATCATATTCTTTAACGAGTTTCGGCGATCCTTTTTGCTCTTGGTGTGTACCTCTACATGTAACAGATCATGAAGGCTAGTTTGTGCTTGTGGGCTAGCTGGTTGTGGTTGTTGTTGCAGTTGTAATTGTGGGTAGATGGCAGTTGTCGGCTGCATGGTGGTGGTTGGAGACTAAGCGGTTGAACTTCTAAGTGCAAAGCTGGTTGTGGGCTAGTGGGTGGAAACAGTAGTCCGACTGGTGAAGGTTGTAAGTTCTTTGGTTGTAGTTGTAGGAAACTAGTTGGAAATTGTAGTTTACTAGGCAATGCTTGTGGCATACACGATGTTGAAGTTAAGTCTCCTAGTGTTATTTATGGTATAGTTGATAACAGTTGATGGCTTGTTGATTACTGGCTTCTTGAAGTTGGTTGTTGACTCACCACAATTCTTCGACTAGTCTGTGGATGTTGTTGACTAGCTGGGACTGAAAGGCATTTTATGGTTAATTGAGGATTCTGAGCCATCAGATGGTGGTTGTTGACTACCTGAAGTTTGTCGGCTTGTTGATGGTTCATGTCTAGCTGACACACACACACACACCTGAGTTTGTTCTGGAAGTTTGAGGTTAGTAACTGATGATTGGTATCTAGCTAATGATTGTTGGCCATGGAAAGGGGGTCTGCTAGTTGTCGGCAATTGTTTGCCCGCCAATGGTTCTTCCAATGTGTCTAGGCAACCAGGTGGGAGTTGAAAGGTAACTGATGGTTTTTCAATGCTTGCTGATGGGTGGTTGGATGTTCCAAGCTAGTTGGTGGAAAATAGACACCAGTTAATGGTTGATGGCTACCGGTAATGGTTGATGGCTAGTTGATGCATATAACCCATCACTTAGATGCTCTTGGCTCGTAGATGACAATTTTGGTGCAACAGATGAAAATTGATGATGGGTATCAGATAGTGATTGATGACTATCAAATGGTTGTGGACTACAGAGGGATAGCTTCTGAAAATTTGATTGCAGCACATCACTAACTATTAGCAGTTGTAGGCTGGTGGTGCCAATTGCCGATAACCAACAAACCATTCTATGCTATTCGATGAGGGCTGCTGAATTGGTGGCTCTTGCCAACTAGTTGATGAAGGTTGTAGGTTAGGAGATGGTTCTAGGATATCACGTGGTAGCTGGTGGTTTGGCTCCAATAAAGCTTCCCTGTTAGGTGGTCGTAGTGGTAAACTTTCTGTAAGCAATTGTGAGGTGGAAGCATTAATTTGAAGGATAACCATTGATATGTTTAGGTTGGGCAGCAAATCTAGGCCAGGAGGAGGAGATCCTACGGAAATTTGGTGCACTAATAAATTAATTTAAGACAATGTCGGAAGTTAATAGATTCTGCATTAGTAAATGCAGAAGGCAACGAGTAGAGCAAAACACATGATTTACCAATGTTCTGTTAGTTAGGATTGCGAGAATCAAAATAATATGCTTTGTCATGCTACGAATATATTCCCAAACCTCTTAAAACTAATTCGACATAATTTATCTTGCTCGGTTGCACAAGAATTACACTTTCCTTTAAAAAAACGGAGGCTTCAATACTGAGGCTGGAGTTTTATCTGGCTAATTAAACAATGGGTTCCATTTAGACATCCACAAGAGATCATGATTGGTCTGTATTCTGGTGCGTAAGTTTAAAAACAACCGCTTCCTTTCAACAAGATATTCCGACGAAACCAATTTATTTTCTGCTTCTTACATGTTGTTTATAATGATAGAAACGTCCAAACCTACAATACAAGACAACCCTGCAAGCATTCATTTTCTTTTTGTTTTGTTTTGTTTTGCAATGCGTACACAATGCTTATGAACCATCTTTTATTTTCGAAACAGGGCCCAAATAGTTTTTGTGTCAACAATGAAAAAAAGTTATATTACTCGGTCAATGAATGGAAATCCAAACACATTTGGTAAACATTTTGCTCTGTTGAACGCAGTTCATTGCATGCCAAAATTCCTTGATGGCTCGAATAATTTTCTTACCCACATGAGAACATCAAAGAAGCAACCAGACACTCAAGATGCTAACACATCTAGAGGCTAAAAGTACTCTCCTGAGGTGGAAAAGAATCTAATAGTCCTTCATTTCATCTCCATAATAATCTCAAACAAACATCGGGACTCATGAGGGAGAAGGGTAAGAAAAACAAAAATGTAGATGATTTTGTTTGTCTGCATGAAGGCTGACCTGGTTCAACAGGAGCTTGATCATCAGAGCTGTAGGCTCGTGAAGACATGTTGACCCTTCAAAAGAATTTTGAAGCACTAGAGTGAGGGGAAAACAAATTTTGATCTGGTCTTAGAACATCCATTTTTGAGCTCCTCCTGCTCGAAGCAATCATGCCAATCTAGATTAAACAGAGACCTGCACATGAAAAGCAATGACAATCATAGGAGGGAAAATGTTGCAACTCTCATTACCTGGAATTAAGATTGCCTTCAGCAGCTTCCCTTGGCATTAGAAGTGTAGTAACACCCTAGAACACGAGAAACAAGATGAGGGCGAAGGGTATAAACTTGACATGCACATATTGTCAAAAAGCACATGAGCATCTTAAGGAATTCGACAAGGGTTCCCACCAAGAACCCGCTCGACGACCAAAGTTATTGCAAAATGCAGAATTGTTTGTGTTCTTTCTTTTAGGTTTTGCGAGGAACGACAATGCAGAATTCAAACAGGTGGAGGAGGAGAAAATTAATGGATACGATTGAAAGAAGAAGAAATGATTCTTTCTCTTTTCTCGTAGCAAAATGCCAACAAAATAAAACCAAAGATTCCCCTCTCCTTTCATAGAGAAAAGAAATGGCAATGATTAGAGAAAATTCATTTTTAAGATGTGTGTCGAGTTTTTCCCCGTCAAACAAAGTTGTCAAGCCGGTTTAGCAAGTAAAATAATGATGGTGCAATTGATGTGTGCCGCTTCATACCGTTTTAACAAAATATATAGAAATGTGAAATTTATTAACATCAAATGAATTTAATCATATATATAACATACTTGAAGATAATTTACTTACAATCCATATTCATATTTACATAAAATATGTCATTCCAAATAAAATAAATACAACATTTAAGATCAATAATGATACTTGAATTAAATAAATAACATTAGCATTTAGCTTTTAAATTCTCCACATAAATCATAAATCAACTTTTCATTATTTAAATTCAGTAAAACAACATCAATTTAGCTAGAGGTCATAAATCAATGTAAGGTCAATCAAGCTATTTTTATGACGGAAACTAGTTGAACTTGGTTCAACATGTCGACATTCTGCCTATGTGACTACCACGCGTCAAAACCAGTACTTGAATCAATTGAATTTTATATGCGCTGAATGAAGATGAATCTGCTCAAACTCGGTCAGTAGGGTCTTAATGGGTAGGAAATCGACCAACTAGAAATGAAAGGTCTACAATCAATAGACGAGAAAAAATATTGTTTTCCTTTGCTTTGCTTTTTATCGAGGCGGATCTCCAAATTACTCACCAACTCTGGAGGCTGGTCTCTACATTGATAAGTCGGAGCTACTCCCTCGCCCCCTACAGGCTAAATCAACGCCGACCACCAAGACGAACTCGAAGGACGTCGCAGAAATTATATATGAGGATGATCTTGATGATGAGATTTCAAAACACAATAAATTAATTAAGGTGTCTTATGATTCTCTTTAAGGCTCTTTAGAAACAATGCTATTGGAGAAACCAGAGGTCAACCATCAGCATCAAGGTTTTGGGGCATACCTTTATTTTCCCGGTGATTTGATAATATTTTCATTGATATTATCTTTCCAAATATCTTGTTGTACGTTCATGCTTATCCATTTTTGGCCATTAACCCAAGAGAAAATATATATGGTTATTTGCTTACATCAATCAATCGAGAGAAAAATATGTGTGTGATTATTGATAGATTCATATATAGGTAAGTCAAGAAATCGCACGGCAGGGATAAGAAGATACTCCAAGACATCTACTACAGTCGTCTGGACGGGTACTACTTCACAGACAGCTTTGCGGAGAAGTTGGGAATACCTTTTCAGCACCCCATTCGAGGCTGCCCTACTAATGCTTTCTTGGGCTTCTCGTTTTCAATGTCGAAAAAGAGATAGAAAGATAAGATATGTAACATCCCGACATTTGGGTTCTGATTTGACCATGATACATGAACGATTGGATTCACGGCTAAGGATTTCAACGGTTCATTAATAATAATAATAATAGCAATTATTATTATGAATTCCAAAAAAAAATTAAATATTAGTCGGCCAAAAAGGGGCCGAGCGGCCTCCTTCTCCATCACTTTCCCCAATTCCCCATTCCACAGCAGTCAAAACCCTAGTGAAACAAATTCCCCGAGCAGTTCCCATTTTTATTAGACCCTTCCAAATTCCAATCTCAGTTCGTAGATAAACCGCCCCCATACCACTAAATAATTGGGCTGTGGTAGCGAGCATAGTCACACTCACATCAGTATCCGGAGGGAGCTAGAGACTACGAGGTACGAGACCTGTCTTTTTGCCAGATTGGCTGCGTGGGTGTTATTATATTTATTCATGGTGGGAGGATGATTGGCCGGTTCAAGGGATTGTTTTTCCACACATCGTAACCTCTATTTGGCGCAGGAAGTGATGATTGAAAGATTGGGGTTTGGAATTATATCATGGAAATCCAGGTATCGTGAGTGCATGATGGATGTGAAGAGAAGAGGACTCATCAGGGGAAGGTCAATAGTGAGTGCATGGTGGAATGCTTGTGGGACGTTTGTCGTAGCTCTTGTAATGGTAGGGCTTTGGCCGAGCAATTATGCAACGATCAAGTTAAGGGAAATTGATCCCTGTAGCGGATTCTATTCAATCTGCTTAACATAAGGTGATCAGTGTAAATGGATATAATCTACGCCTTGTGTATTTTCAAGCATTTATCTTACGCATTTTAAGTGTTTTTGTGAAGTGCTTTGTATGGTTGTTTAGGCGTATGGTTGATGATATGTGCCTTGTTTGAATTATAACTTAAAGTGAATGTTTATTATTTACTTTGAAATTTTATGAGTATAAATTATTGTTAAAGTTTAAGAAACAAGTTCTTTTTATGAAGTAACTCATCTTCAGGAAGGTGAAGTCGTTTTAAGTGTTTTTAGTCACTAGCGCCAGTCCGTTGCCATTTGAGATTTTCAGATAGAGCAGCAGTTATGCTCTTGGGATCTTTGAGACAGAGCAACAGTTATGCTCTTGAGATATTAAAGTTGAGCAGCAGTTATGTGATGCGTTGCCGGCGCAAGTATCGTATACGTCGAGAATCGGCCTAGGCCTTTTGAGGGATTGAGATAAAGAAATTAGAGAAAAGAGACATTATTTGGGGGTTTCTTGTTTATTCATTGACCTCCTTCTGAACTGAAGGATAGAGTACGTATATACGATGAAACGAAACCCTAAACCTAGTAGCTAATCCTAACCCATTCGGCCAAGGTAGTAGCTACCAATTCCAATTCTTATTCTAATCCTATTGCAACATTCAAACTACTACTATAATTATCTCCTAAATCTACTACTAATATAATAACTAACCAAAATAGCAATCATAATAATTATATACGCATCATTCCTCTCCCTTCAAAGAACCTTGTCCTCAAGGTTTGAGCTAATTAACGGATTAATTCAAACCATTCTCAACCTTGATCAATGTCAAAGGAAGTCTCTCCCACTCGTCTGACGATTTCGCTTACGCTTACGAGACTTCCAATTTCGCACCGGCCATCGGACGAGTCCCACAGCATGAGCTGCTATGTAAATAAACTTCCTTTCGATGGCGCCCAATTGAACTGCTCCTTCCTGGCCTTCCGCAGGTATGGGAATCTTGTCTACATTCACGTTGGTCGGCCATCCATAATTGCTAGACACAAAGCAACAAGGGTAATTGGTAATTAAGTAGCTTCTGGCAACATCCCATTGCCCACTCATGGAATTGTAATTCCATCGCTTGCCATCTGTACAACCTTGAGCTTGTAACTCATGCCCAGCATAATCCTCCACGTCCCAAACTCCTGCCCGCACACGTACGAACAGAAACTCCCGCATTGAAAAGTCATACCCACACATAATTGTTGTTCCGCTGTTCGTAACCAATAAATCGTTCCGAACAGAACAATATCGGTACAACGAATTAACTAAGAAGATGCTCGGGTGGCTGTCGACTCGTACAAAAGTTGTGGAGTCGGAATTTGATGGTGGCCACCGCTAGCAGCAGTGACGTTGGCTTACTCGTTAAGCCTTCTCCAGCGGCAATGGTATTGGCGGACGTTGCCTTCTCCACGGTTGAAGAAGACATCAACTCCTTGAGAAATTTTACAATGCTATATAGCATTGGTGCTATAGGTTTTTGCCTCTATGGTACAACTTCAAGTTGTACATTTTACGTTATGATATAACTTCGGCTTGTACCTATAATATTTTACAAATTCTTTTATGGTACAACTTGAACTTGTACCTTTATGTGATGGTACAATTTAAAGTTGTGAAGTTGTACCATAACATAAGGGTACAAATTCATTTATGTTACAACCCAAACTTATACATTTTACGTTATGGTACAACTTTAAGTTGTACATTAAAGCACTCATGCTTTATAGCATAGTAGAAGTGCTCCAACTCTTTTGGTGTTTGCTCCCCGTTCTCAGGCAACATACCCAAGGATGCGGTCGCTAATTCGAGCGGCGATGGTGCCGTGATTGACGTGGCAACAGCTGTGGAGGGAACAGATGGTGTTGATGTCGTCCTTCGGTCAAGACAGGCGGTCAACGGCGATGATGTGAACTGATCCAGGAGCTCTGGTGAGTCTTCTAGATCAGCAGTGTACGGTGGCACAAACGCTGGATTTAGGGCAACAACTAACCTCTTCGATGGCGGTTCGATGACAGTGGCAGCTGGGGATGCCTCTTCGGCTGCGACAATCGAGGCAAAGACAGTGATTGGTGATGGTGCGATCGATGTTCACATACGAGCTATGGTTAGCTCGGTGGCTGCGGTTGGTGATGATGGAGGTGCGGTTAGCTCTTCGTCACCGGCGGTTGACAATGGTGGAGCCACGGTTAGCTTCGTCATTAGTGGCGCCTCGGTCAGCTATCCACTCTTCATAAGAACCCCATTCCTGGCAGGTAGGGTTTCATCATCCAAGTCGTTGTGGCCGTGTCCCACCCTTCAGCGGTCAACGTGTTCGCGGAGGCGTCGCTCTTACATTCATCGGTCGAAGGTTTCTGATCGTGCTCGGCGGAAGGTGACTGCGTATTCACCTTGTCGCGGCGGAATGTGATGGCGGCAGTGGTTGCTCGTGGGACCTCTTCCTAACGTTGGTGGTTGAACGTTGGCGATGTCTACCCTGGGAGCTGCGTTGAGCTCAGTTTCATCGAACCGGGCTGTGATACCAATTGATGTCGGCGCAAGCATCGTATACGTCGAGAATCGGTATAGGCCTTTTTAGAGATTGAGATAAAGAAACTAGAGAAAAGAGATATTATTTGGGGTTTTCTTGTTTATTCCTTGACCTCCTTCTGAACTGAAGGATAGAGTACATATACCCTAAACCTAGTAGCTAATCCTAACTCATTCGGCCAAGGTAGCAGCCGCCAGTTCCAATTCCTATTCAAATCCTCTTCCAACACTCAAACTACTACTATAATTATCTTCTAAATCTACTACTAATATAATAACTAACAAAAGGGTTAGACTGGCGTACGTCAGACGTATACTATACGTCAGGTACTACTAGTGAGATATCTCTATCTAG